TACATTCTGAGTTTTGAGTGAGCCTGTGACTCATGTGAAAGTGGGTTTGTCAATACCTTGTCAGTGAAAGAAAAAGTGGCTGTACTAAGTCTTTGCTTCTTTAAATCATATTTCCTAAAACTTTTCCACATTTTGGGTTTTTTTAAAAAATTAATTTTAATAAACATTTACAAAGATTTTGGATTTCCATTCATTCATTGTTGCATTTTTCTCCCTGCCCACCTCTCCCCCACAGCTCACGCTTCTCTTTGAAAAGTAAAAGAAAAATTCCATCATTGGTATACAATCCCCCAGGCCCAAATACACTCCACTATGCAACCTTCATTCTGGACTCTTGTCATAACCATAATATCCAATCATATATTGCTTTTAAACTGTTCTCTCCCTCATCTGTTTCAATGCAGCATATATAATCTTGTTTTTATTCTATTTTATTACATTTAAACAAACCCATCACACCCCAAACTCCATAGTTCACTTGTGTCAACTTACCCAACTCATAAGTATGGCATTTTAGAGTGTGACCAGGTATCCACAGAAAAGTGAATGAAACACTAGGAATATGTTGTTGTTGTTGTTGTTATACGCCATCAAGTAGACCCCAACTCATAGTGACCTTATCTTTGTACAAAGGCTCTGTACCCTGCTCTATCCTGAGCCAATTTCATTATCTATGTCACACCTACCCCCATTACCCCAGTCACTGAGTCAATCTATCTCATCCAGAGTCCACCTCTTGTGATGTCCCTCCACCCTTCCAAGCATGGTGTTTCTCTCCAAGGACTGGTCCCTCCTTGCAACATGCCCAAAGTATATCACATGGAGCTTCAAAATCCTTGCTTCCAAGGAGCAACCTGGTTTCAACCTCTCTAGGATGAACTTGCTTATTCTCTTAGCAGGCCATGGTATATTCAAGACTCTTCTCCAGCACCACAGATCAAAGGCATTGGTTCTTCTTCTGTCAAACTTAGTAGTTGTGCAGCTTGCTGATGCATAACAATTAATTGTAAAGACTGTGTCTTGGATCACAATTCATCTTAATTTCGGAGATGTTAGTTGCATATCTGGGTGAGATTGAGTCCAGTAGGTTCTAGTAAGATGTGGTCCTCAGCCTGGAGTTATGCCTACCTAGAAAGGCTCCTGGATGTGGAACCTGGGCCAGGTGGGGACAGTGGGACCCAGTGATAACTGAGCAGGGATGGTGGCTTGTACTGTAACCTTGTTTGGAATCTGACAACCAACTTCCCTCAACTTCTGCCTGTTTTCTCATTTGGGTTTTCTAGGCCTTTCCTGTGAAAAAGACAGCCCCCATTCCCTATTTGTGGGAACCAGAGCCCATTTCTGTTCTTTGAAGTTAAGAACTCAGACCCTTTTTTATACATTTCCATGGAGTCAGAACCAAGTCCTAGCTGACCCTCCCACAGGTTTTCAGAGGTCATAATTGGGTGGGAAGAGATTGCCCATCTTTCTCTCTTGGAGCATCTGGTAGATTTGAACCTTCTATCTTGGAGTTGACAGCTCAACTTCTTACTCACTGGATCAGTGGAGTTCCCTACTAGAACCTATAAGTCGTCTACTTCTTGAATCAATTCTGAGAAAATTACTAAGAATTCAGGTATAGATTTAGGTACATATATGCTTGATGCAGAGTTTCTCACTCTAAAAGAGAAGTCATCTAAATGGACAGCAATAAGGAGATAGTTATATTAGCTGAAATACATTCATATTTTTAAAAATCAGGTTTCATAAATGCAGCTGATCTGCTGTGTTGTGTAGGAAATCTCAGAGTCCATTATTTTGTCGCCAGCTATGAAGCTAAGAGTGATCCCTGTTTTTTCAGTTCTCTGTTCTGTTTTGACACCACCTGTTCATGCAACACTTCTAACCTTGGGTCAAACCAGATGGAGGTCAGATCTCACAGGTTAAAGGACAGACTCCTGATGGCCAAGGAGGCAGATAGGAGCTGCAAGTTTGCTCTACACAGCACTTCTGAACTGCTGGCTAGAAATTGGAGCATTCACTCCACCCTTTCAGGATGCCAGTCACAAGCTTGGGAGCTCCCCCCACAGCACGGGCTCCTTCACATGCGCTCTGTCTTCCACCACTCCTTTGGGCTCAAGGATGTGCTGGAATGACCCACAAACCTCACAGAAAGTGTCATCCTTATGATCACACCTTTATTACAGCAAACAAAGGGATGCTTAGGGCAAGGTGCCATATACTTCATCCCAAATACTTTGGTCACGTTTATTAGAAAGGACTATTCCTTGGAGAAGATGTCACAGTTGGGAAAGTAGAGGTTCAGGGAACAAGAAGATCTACATGAGATTGATACAATGACTGTATCAGTGAAGTTAATAAGCACAGCAGTGATTGAGGATGAACTGGATCTGGTGGGGCTTCATTCTGTCATACATAGTGTTGCTGTGAGTCAGAGACCACTTGCTGGCACTATACAGTAAAAGGGCAAAGGCTGGGAGGTTTCCCAGCAAAGCTTGCACACCCCACACTTGTGCATCTTTGTCTTTTACCAAGCAGGAAGCCCGTGGATCTTCTGGGTTTTTTATTGGCCTCCTTATGGTTATCTGAATCAGTCCATATTAGATAATATAGTCTTTCTGGTCATCAGAGAGTTGGACAGTGACTAAGGATGACAGAAGAAGAATTCATACCTTCGAATTGCGGGGCTGGAAAAAAGTCTTGAACACTGTGGACTGCCAAGAAAAACAGGTCTGTCTTGGAGAGGGTAAAATCAAGTTTCTCCTTGGAGGCTGGGATTTTGAAGTTCTGTTTGATATACTTTGGGCATGTGGCCAAGAGGGACCAATCCTTGGAGAAGGACATCATGCTCGGAAGAGTGGAAGGACAGCGTAGGAGAGGAAGACTGAAAGAGGTGGATTGACTCACTAACAAGGGAATGGAAGTAGGTGTGTTGGAGTCAGTGAGACTGGCTCAGGACAGGCCAGGGTTCAGAGCTGTTGTTCACAGGGTCACAACTAGTCATAGTCAACTCAACAGCACATAACAACAGTCTTTCTGGTTGGGTCAGGTGCATCCATGTACACAGACCTCCTAGGTATGGTCTAGAGATCTAGTTAACAAAGGCACATTAATTACTAAGAAAAGTAGAGGGTTTTAGTTTTCCACTCAAAAAACAGCAAGTAAATTTCTTTGTCCTACTCTCGTCATTTTTTCCCTCTTTATATTTATTTGCATAAAAAATTGTATACATTGTTTTTCATCCTTTCCTTTATTTGGATTGTGTTTCAAACAATCATTCCCATACATTGTGTTTTAGAAAATTAATCACCAATGACCTATGCCCACCATTACCTTATTTTTCACGTCCCTGCCAGATCTTTCTCATTTCCTTTGCCCCCTTCCTCCACTCACCAAATTGTGCAACCCTCCCCCCTGCCCTACCCATCCTCACCCATCTACTCCCACCCCTTCCCATTCCTCCTCATTTGAAGTAAAAAATATTTTGTGGAGGGAAGAATTAGAAATAGCTGTATGTACAGTATCCTCTCAACCACATAAAATATTGTTTCTCTATTCATGAGAAGAAAAAAAAACCTGGAAGAATAAGCATCACATTTTATATACTAGAGTTACGACTACTCCCTGTTTTTTTTCTTTAGGCCAAGTAGCATGGTTAAAAGATTATGTGCTATGGAACTGGGTAAATCTAGGCTCAACTCCCACTTCTGCCACCTAGCAGCTGTGGGCAAGTTATCTCGCCTTTCGTCTTTGCAAAATCATGATTAAACTTACTTCATAGGGCTATTGTGAGCGATCAAATTTAGGAGATTATGTGCCATGTTCTCAATGCAACATCTAGTCCAGAGTATGTGACCAGTGAATGGTAATGTTTTCTTTTTACTTGTTCGTATTTTCAGTGAAACATATTTAAAATTGAGAAATCCATCCATTACAAAAGCACATTGCTGTGCAGGGGTAATTGTGTGTTAAGCCTCTTGTCTGTCTTCTTGGCAGGCCCTGTTGTCCTGTTGTCTAGTTCCAACAAAGCCCTGAACCAGGAGTGAGAAACCCAGGCAGACCAGTGATCCTGTCATGTGCACACTCCCACTTTGGTGACCTTCCTGCTCTGGGCCTCATTTCTGAGTGCAGGAGTCAGCCTGAGTCATCTTAAAACATCTCCACTGTCTCACCTTCTGTGACTTTTGAGCTTCAGAGGTGGAACGACCTTTCTAAACTTGGTTTCTTCACGTCATGAAACCAGATTCTTATTTCCCTTCACCCAGGATCCTTGCCGTAGCAATCTTAAACAGCTTTTCTTTCTTGGGGTTATGGATCCTGTTTTTAGCCTGAGAACTCTTCAAGTTCAGAGAGAAGGGTGAGTATCTAATGTAGAATGTTGCTCTTGATAAATCAACAAATATTTATGTAGTGATTTCAGATACTGTGGGGCAAAGGTGGATAATCTCTTCCCGTGTGATTTACTGCCTTTGAAAACCCACTTGAGGGTCAGCTATGAGTTGGTTCTGAATTGACAGCACACAACAACAACAACAACATGGGAAACCCTGCAAAAACACTTGCTTTCCATGTTCTTGTCTTCATTGTATTATGTACCACTGAGTTGGAATCAACCCATAGCTGACCCTGCAGAAGATTTTCAGAGGCAGTGAATTGCACAGGAGGAGACTGCCCATGTTTCTCCTGAGGAGCAGCTGGCAGATTCGAACCGTGTGCCTTTGCATTGGCAGCTCAAGTCTTTATGTCCCCTTTTCTGCAATATGGAAACAGTGGGAAGACGGGAGTTATCCATGGGGTTTCAGGTGGGAGCTGGTGTCGGTTGTGACTGTGCCTCAGAGAGAAGCTTCATGTGACCCTTGACCCACCCATCACCCACTCCGTGCTGAGACTCACAACACTGGGGCACTCCACCCTGGTGTCCATCCTGGTGCCCAGAAGGGAAGCCAGGGCTGCACTTTCTCTCATCTGACCTGGTCCTCTTCCTTCCTGTTTTTCAGACCATGGGAGATGTGAAGCTGGTGGCTTCGACACACGTTTCCAAAACCACCCTTAGCTTGGATCCCTCGAGAGTCGGCTCCATGCCCCTGACAGAGGCCCCTGCTTTCATTGTGCCCCCTCGGAATCTCTGCGTGAGAGAAGGAGCCACAGCCAAGTTTGAAGGGAGGGTAAGACATGCGGCGAGAAGTGGAGGGGGCCAGGGCAGGGGTCATTGCACACTTGAGTCTTTTTCTTAGCAGGCTACGTCTGGTAGAAGGCATGATTTTCCTTTAGATCCATCTATAATGTAAACAACTACCAATCTGGGTATTTATTTTCCTTCTGATAGACTTTGATGGGTTTTGGAGAAGTCAGGATTGCTAGAGAAACTACAGGCTGAGCCTCTACAGATAACCTGCTGTTAATTTAGGTTGTGTTCTGAATATGTGCTGCCTGATTGTAGAAGAAATGTACAGATGGTGGGAAGAATGCAGCTTGGGTTGAAATATGTGCCCTCAAGTCTGGACAGTTAAAAGCTGACTGGAATTTTTCTCTTGCTTCTTTTTTGGAAGAAGTTACCCAATCCTTCTCGTGTATCCACTTAGTACATCAAGGAGAGTGGGATGGAAAATGTTGTGTGCTGTTGAGTCAATTTCGACTCAGACTCATTGTTGTTAAATGCTGTCAAATTGATTACAATTCAGAGCAACCCTGTGAACAGATTGCAACCTTGTCCTGTCCTGCACCATTATCATGATCTCAGTCGCTGTTGGCATTGTGTCAATCCATTTCAGAGAAGGTCTTCATAATGACTCTGTCAAGCAGAGTACACTTCCTTGTAGGGGGTTCCCAAAGCTGTAACTCTTGACAGCAGACTACCATGTTTCTCCCACAGAGTGTCTGGTGAATTTGAACCGCCAACCTTTCAGTTAGCAGCTAAGCACTTAACTACTGCACGACCAGGCCGCCTCCTCAGTTCTGCTTTGCTTTGGTAATAAATTAATGAATATTGGCCCGTTGATCTTTGTCTTTACTTTTTCTGCAAACTGAGCATGATCTTTCTTATACTAGAAAGGAGATATAGAGGGCAGACTTTAAAGGAAAGCTGTAAGATCATCTAATGCTATGTCTGGTTATAAAGGTTTTTAGTAAGAACTCTGAGAATAGCCTGACATGGCAGAAGTACATGGGGCTCTGAGAGACTTACAAGATGTGCTCCTCCTTGAATCAGTCTTGAGGATCTGTCCCAGAATATGCATTAGTCACTAGAAAGCTTTGACCTAGGTATGAGCCATAAACAATTGAGATGAGGAGTTCTTAGATTGGGCTGTGAATTTACAGTTTGTGTGTGGGTTCCTGAAGGCTTACCGAAGAGGAGAGGTCAAGATGATCAGTCTTCCTGCATGACTCTAGGCCTAACCTTTGCTTCACTAGCCGGTTTGACAGCATAGTCACCTGGAGAATGTACAGACACTGCTGCCAGCCTGAAAATGGCTCAGGGCTGCACTCGATTTTGTCTTGGCACAATCTTGCTTGTCTAGTAAAGACAGTTTGCTGATGAGTCTGCATACCTTTTTCCTAAGGAAGGTTGTGGGGAATGCAGGTGATAGTCATAAAGGCCTGCTTCTGCTGTCTGGGCTCACCAGGGTGAAGGCTCATTTCTCTGTTCTGACACTTTAGTCTGCCCAGCCTCCAAGCCCTCAGCTGGCAAGAAAGAGGATTACTGTGGATTGGAATAGACTGAAAGGCAGCGGGTTATCTGAAAGGATACACATATGTTTGGGTTGTTTGATTGGGACTTTCTTCCACATACTGTGGTGGGAAGAACACTGGTGTCAGCGGGAACACACATGAGTTCTCCTTCTTGCTCAGTCATCGTTTGGACACAAAACTGAACGTAAGGTTTCTTATCTGAAGAAAAGAAATTGGTGTTTTCCATATTTCTGGTCTATCGGAGAGTGGGAGAACAAAATTAATCAGGAGCTGATGAAAGTGTATATAAAGTTTTAAAAGTGTAGTAGCAGTCTTCTCACATTTTCTATGTGACATTTGTATTTGATGAAGTAATTGACTTTGTGGTGGCCTAGTGGTAAGGCCTAGTGCTGCCAACCTGAAGGCATGTAGTTCAAATCCACCAGCTGTTCTGTGGGAGAAAGATAGACAATCTCCTCCTGTCTGATTAAACTGCCTTTGAAAACCTGCTTGGGGTCAGCTATGGGTTGGTTCCCACTTGGCGGTATACAAGAACGTATTAAATACATACTATATATGAAAAGAAGTATATTCCTTTAAAGTCAGTCTGGAAAAAAAAGTCTTGCGTTGAGTGCAGCTTTACCACTTGAGATCTGACTAGCATTCACCCAGGACAACACATCGAGGGCACTTGGAACGGAGCAAGTGCGGAAGGCCGACTCACTCCAGGGAGACATGCAGAGGGAGAGTTCTGGCTCCAGGGGAGAACTTGCAGAGAGAAACTTGCAGGGAAGACTGAAAAAAAGAGCATTACTGAAAAAAAGAGCTCGCAGTAACGGGGCTTTCACAGAATTTCCTTGAGTGAGTTACCTTTTTAAATTAAGCCATCTAGGGAGGTCTGGTGGACTAGTGGTAAGAACCTGCACTGCAATCCTGAATGCACCTGGTTCAAATCCACCAGGTGCTCTGTGGGAGAAGGATCGCCAGTGTCCTCCTGTGTAATGAACTGCTTCTGGAAACCCTCTGGAGGGTCAGGTATGGGTGGGTTCCAACTCTAAGATACTCAACAACAACAGCAGTGACTTCTCAGACCCAGGCTGGCCCCCTGTATCAACTGAGAATTCCTTTTCTTTCTTGCTACGGAACTCAAAGATGCTACCTGTTCCTTCCATCTTCTCTCTTTAAATTTTCTGTCACTACTCGAGCTGTGACACCTGGCTGTGAATTACACAAGGACTCCCCAAAATAGTCTGTGCCTTATTGGTCTGAGTAGGGAACAAGTAACTGTGCCCTACTCAAAGACGGCATTTGAATGTCTGTTGCTCTTAAAAGTCCTGCCACAGTCCTTGCTCATGAAAATGTCAAGAGCAAGGAGATGATGTTATTGGCAAAGCTCTGGAGAGCAGCATATTCCAAGAGGTGTGGCTGGCTGCCATCATTGAGCAGGGCCTAGCTGTTTGTATCCTAATCCAACTTGAATTGCCCCATTGTCAGTTGGTTCTGATTCACACTGACCCTGCGGGACAGAATAGAATTGCCCACAGGGTTTCTACGACTATAGATCCTTCCAGGACCTGACAGCTTTATCTTTGTCCCAGGGAGTGGCTGGCAGGTTTAAGCTGCCCGTCTTTTAGTTAGCAACTGAATACTTTGATCATTATGCCACCAAAACTTATTTGTTTCCAACTTGGGTCAAAATGTCACCAGCAAAAGACTTGGTTGCTTTTCTTTTTTATTCCCCCACCCCCATTTTTATTAATTTTAATAAACATTTACAGAGATTTTTTATTTCCATTCATTCATTGCTGCACTTTACTCCCTGCCCACCCCTCCCCACCAGTTCGCGCCTCTCTTTGAAAAGAAAAAAAAAATTCCTTCATTGGTATACAATTCCCCCACTCCCTGCACCAAATACACTTCCCTATGCAACCTTAATTCTGGACTCCTGTGCTAACCATAATACTCAATCATTTGGTTGCTTTTCAATGTGTATTTGACCCTTGTTTATGACGGCAATTATTAAACCTGATTTGAATTGGTTGAAAGACCCGTTTTAATTATTGTAGAGAAACTCATTGGGGAGACCACAGATAAGAGGAAGCTGTAATGGTTTGTCCCCTGCCCCTTCAGAATCCGTACGTGGAAGTTGGCCCAATCTTGCTGCTATTCTTGAAAGAAGTAAAACTCCTCTAATTGTTTAATACAATTCCTTTTTCTTCCTATTTCTATGCAAAGAACTTAATGAACTCTTCTCGCCAGTAAAATCTGCTTCTGTCAAGAAAACTGGAGAGAAGAAGGTGGGGCTGTAGGTGTCTCCTTGTGGTCTTTCCTGCATCTCTGGGTTTTGGTCCCTCATCTTCTTTTGGGATTTTCTGCCTGACTTAGTGGTAAGGAGCTGTGCTTCCAACCTAACGGCATGCAGTTCAAATCCACCAGTTGCTCCTTGGGAGAAAGATGGGTAATCATTTCCTGAATGGTTTACTACCTCTAAAAACCTGCTGGAGGGTCAGCTAAGAGTCAATTCTGACTCAATGGCACACAGTGACAGCAACATCTGTTGAAGATACTTAGAATAGCCAACACATTACCTATTACCAATTCATGAATCTCATTTGCCCCTTGCCCTTTTCATTTTTAGAAGCCATTGTGGAGATATCCTCTGCAGCTAAGGACAACCTAATATATTCTGGCCAGTCTTTTCCTGAGAACATCAGAGAAAGCTCTTGCTTTCCTGATTTTTTTTAAAAGAAATTATTACTAAGGCTCTCAAGTTGCAGCCCTCCCTCTTTTCTGCTTTAAATGTGGATACAATGCCTTATGCTCGAGCAGTCATGATAAAATCATGAGGCAACAAACCATGTAGAGAGCATGAAGGCCAATAATTAAGAAACAAAAATTCTAAGAATTAAAGACTTCCCAAAGTAGGACCTTGGTTATGGCTATTCATCTAGGGAATTTCACCAAACATACTCCTAACTAAACTCATACCTTTTGGAATACACTTAGAGCTAGTATCTCTTAAGTATGAGAATAGATAGGAGAGAAGATGTAATACACAAGGCCCAATACACCTTTGTAAAATCTTGCCATGTTTATGATGGCAGTGCCTTATTCTGAGCTGAAAGTGGCCCTACAGTTGTAACATTCTACAAGGTTTTGCCTCTCCCTGGCTGTGAATTTTTGGTTTGAAACAGCATGGCCTTGGTTTTATGAGCAGAAGCCAAGCATCTAAGATTGGTGATACGTTAGTCTCATTTATGAAGCCACTAGTGAGGATGGCACAGGATAGAACAAAGTTCAGGTCTGTTGATAATAGTGTCGCTATGAATTGTACTTGACTCGATGACACCTAACAGCAATAATTACTGATTAGGTCAAAGCTACCTTGCTCGATTTCTACCCACTTGATATTCTCTCAGCTCAAAGCTTGAAAGGATTATATTTTCAGAAGCTAATAAGACTTTGGCTCTGTATCTTTTCAGTTCCATCTTTGGAC